AACCAAAGCCAAAAGCGTAATCTTAAAAACAAAAACAAAAAACTTTTCAAAAAGAAAATCAAAACTTTGAAGTCATAGCCACACCAAAACTTAAAAGATGAAACCAGTCCATACCTTCATAGATTAAGTGGGAGAATTAATCAACAGCTGAGTGTGGTCAGTGCTAAGATAGGGGAGGTACCAGCGGTCTATGAGAACATGCAGTGGGGGTGGGACTCCCCAGGAACTGCTGAGTGATTGAGGACTTAGCTCAGAGGAAGGGGTGGGTTCACAGAGCAAACCACACATGTTAAATGTAGCCATAGCCCAAGTTTCTGAATGACTTTCTACAATGTAGCCTTTTAAAGTACCTGGTTACAGGCAACTCATCTAACATACAATCACCTGATTCCTTGGCAATTCTTGTGTGTCCCTGCAAATTCTTGCAAAGAAATTCTGTTCTCATTATTTTAAACAATTACATGAATCTAGGAAACGTTTCATTTTGTAGGTAATTAGTTTGCTCTTCTCTGTGCACAATTTGGAGTTTTTTTGCAAACATTTCAAAGCTTACATCTTAGGCATGCCTTCAATTGCCTAATGGTTAAAATAGCAAGTTGATCAAAACAGAGTCTGGGACTGAGGGCCAGGAACCAAGTGTACTCAGCACTTAAAACAGCCTGAGGTGGGTTAAATCCCTTCAGTAAGCAAGTCAGATATCATTTCAAACTATACTGCCCCTAGCCGCAGTATCTTTCCTTAAACTGTAAAGAGTGTCAGGAATGCCCTACCATTCCCAGATGCAGCAGGAAACGGAGCTCCCACTACATCCCCTTTCCCCTGGGGCATCAGTGACTCCTTGCGCAAATGGCAGCCACTGAGTCCAGCAGCTGTTCCACTACTGTCATGCATATGGTGACAGGGCATACACAGGACAGATATATGAAGCCACCACATGTCACTGCTGGCCTGGTCCATTATCTTTTGTCTTTAAGTTCACCTCTGATTTCTAGAAATTCGCCTATCTTCATTATTTTGAATAATTATTTCCCACATTGTAGGAAACTATTAACAAAGTAATTAATCAGAGTATTTTTAGATGTTAAGCTCTTCAAAGCAGACGGGACTGGAGAGGAAACCAGAATAAACAATGTCCTAACCTCAGAGAAAATATCTAGTATGGTTAAAAAAATTACTCATGAACTCACTAAACTAACCACTTCCCACCACAAATAAACATGTGAGAATGGGGAGGGGGAGAATGGCAATTATGAGCGTCATTCTGACCTTCTGTTTACTACATCTGACATCACATACCGCCCTGATTTCACAGAGGAAGTGCAGAGGTGAATTATTTAATGCCATATTATTTAGTGTCTAAAGTCACTAGTGGGCCAGAGAACAGGCTGTGATGCACCTCCTGAAAGCACCGTCACCTCCTCATTCACAGTCACTAGTATCAGAACAACCAGAAAGAGAAATGTTCTTGGTGCCAAGACTCTGACAATGATCCATTAGCAGCCTGTACTCAGGTTTGGATTTGGATTATCTGACAGGTATGGGTCAGTTATGACAAGGAACTAAGTAGCTTCAACTCTGGCAGCCCTTGACAAAAATGACAGTTGTTATTTACTTGAGTAAAGAAATGATGTGGCTTGGTCATTCTGCAGACCTGTCCAACTAAAGTACAAAAGGACCAGCTTGTTTACTGAGATTCCCAGTCACTTCTAAAGAATAGATCCAGGTGGTGTGAACATGGAACCTTCAATACAAGTTAGTTCTATCCATTCGGGAACCAGGTAAGGAACAGTGAAGACATTGGTTAGTGATAAGGTCTCTGGTGCCACTTTTCCATTCACCACAGCTCACTTATATGTCCGCAGCAAATATCAGCAATATCAATGGAGTCCCACATTCTATTCTCACCCCAAAACCTTCCAATAAATTCATTTTTGCAATCATTTTTGCATCCCCCACCTCACCCAGCTAAATCTTACCCCTACCTTGGGCACAGTCAAAGCTGTAGGAAATTTATTTCTCTGATGTTTCTTTAATTTCTCAATCGACCTTTGACTTCGCATACTTCTTCAAGTCTCCTTGACTCCACCCTGCCTACTTCCTTCGCTGCTACTTCCCCCAGCATCCTGAACTCTTGAACTCAGTCACCATAAGCCTAACAGCTAGCAAGTGGCTTCACCTTGGAGCCTCCCATATAAAAGATATAGCCACCCATGAACTTTTGTTGTAGAGTGACAGTAAGAGAACAAGCACCATGGTGCAAATTATGGTGTTTTTTTTGGAGGGTCTGGGTCCATAATTGTGATGACTTTCATCATATTTTATCAGAAAGCATTAAAAAAAAAAAAGCCACAAAGCTCAACTGTACAAAGAACAAAGAGACAAAGAGGGCAATTTGCTATTTCCCCATCAGTTGGTCCTGTTGTAATCCCTAACTTCCTCCCAGTCAGTATCAACTGTCTTGATGAATATGGTAAAACAAACACCAGATAGCTGGTGTTTGTGCAGAATTTACTTGAAAGCTCTTGAAAGACATAAAGAGCCTGGAAGATGACAATAAGGCAAAAGCAGTAATTTGCTATGACCCCTAACAGGATCATAGGTATATCTGCCTGAAAAAGAAAAATCACTATACCCACTCAACTCAGTTTCATCAGCAGAGAGGAGCAGCCAGGCCAAGACAGAAAACCAAACTCTAAGTGCTATAATCTCTCATCAAACTACCTGGGAAATAATCAACCAGGAGTTAAGCAGGAGAACAAGGCAGAGACTGCAGGAGCTGAATGTCATTAAATTGTACAGCAACCAGCATAGATGGCTTCTGCCCAAGAAATAGTATTGCCTCTCTTGGACATCTGAGAAGGTGCTGAGAGCAAGCTGTTTGAATAAATATGCAATGTGCCTTCTTTTTGGGCAGTATCATCTCAGTACCACCACTGCCAGATGTTTTCACTTCAAAAGCAGTTGTACCATGGGCCCTCCCGGGTGGCGCAGCGGGTTAAAGCACTGCACTGAGAAGCTAAAGCCACTTCCGCATGAGTTCGATTCCCGCCTGCCCCGGAGGAGACCACATGGCGTGGCAGACCTCTCCTGACCCGCCCGCTGCTCCCCTCAGCAGTGTACTTCGTTGATCTGCCTGTTCTGCTCCCCACTCTGTCTCTGGTGAATCCTCTCACCCTCTGCATCTCTGGCCTGTACCCCAGTTCTATATGGATAAATAAATAAATCTTTAAAAAAAAAAAAAAAAGCAGTTGTACCAGATAGAGGGCTAGAAACCACTAGATAGTTCCACATTTGCAGTGGATAGGGGCACACACCCTTCAACTGCCTGAACTCTACAGGCTACCCTACACTGACTGACCAGTAATACTACTTCCAGAATCTGGTCCAAGAGAAGGAAAGTTCCTGTAGAGCAGCATTTGACATGTTCAAAGCAATGTGGCTCCATAATTCTTTATATAAGCATGGGGAAATCTAGGTTCAAACATCACCGGCTCTACGTAAGAACACAGCAAGTGCAGAAGGCAGAATTCTAAAATGGCTGGCCAAGAGTCTCAGACGCTGGCTATTCAGACACTAATCTAAGTATGCTGTGCTCAGTAGACCTTAGCATATGGAGATTACTCAGGTGAGTCATTTGATGTGATGTAAGTCATTTCAAAGCAACATTTTCTCTTGCTAGTACCACAAGAAGTCAGACTGAAAGCATGAGGATTCAATGCACCCTAAGATGGAGAACTTTGTAACAAGGAATTTGAGCAACTTCTGAAATTGAGAGCTGTCTCCAGCTAACAGCTGGCAACAAACAGGGACTCCAGCCCTGCAACCTGAATACTGCCAACAACCTAAATGAGTCGAAGCATATTCTTTCCCAGAACCTTCAGATAAGGGGCCCAGATTGATCAACAACTTAGTATCAGTCTGTGAGATTCTAAGCAGAGAACTCAACCACACCAGCCCAGACTTCTAACCTATAGACTTGTAGTTAATAAATGGGGAGTGTTCTAAGCTGCTAAGTTTGTGGTAATTTGTTAAGTGGCAACAGAAAAGCCAACACAGTATATAGAGTTCTCAGGAGTAGAGTGCCACAGCTCGAAATGGACTTCATCAGTGTTAGCTCCACCTCCACATCCTCCAGACCCCAATCTTTAGAGCACAGACTTCCACTGGTCTCTTTTCACTGAAAAAGAAAAAGGTACCAAGAGGACTGGTTGAGGCAGACCTTTCCTTACTCCAAAAACCCACCGATGATGGAGAAGGAATTGACCTTTTCTCTTCTACCAACCTGGAATCCATGCACATTACCAAATGTACATCGTATTAGTTGGCAGAGGTGATCCACCACTCACCTTGAGTATTCCTGCACATACTCGTTGGGTAGGCCTTCACCAGAGCCTTTACTTAAAGTTGCTTTTGCAGAATGCAATCTTCAGGGGTAAAGTACAATGATGTATCTCTTTAACTACTGGGATATGTTCTGAGAAATGTCTTCGTAGATGATACGTGATATGCATGAGGTTGCTGACTGCATAAAACAACACTGTACTGCAATAGCTACTATCTCACCAGGCCATTTTGGGACCACCTTGTATATGTTCTGTTAATGACTAAAACCCCATTATATGTCACATGGCTGCATCTTGAGCAAAGAGCAGACCTGTTATGAAAGAGACAATGTTCTCCAAGCATGCACGTTCACTGGCTATGATGTGGCCCACTGTGTACATAGCATCTACTTGCCTCCACATCACATATCCTCCACATCACTACTGTGTTATGTTGGGAGCAAGAGAGATCCAATATGAACATAAAGCTCATGCTGCTTTTTGTGCTCCAACTAATAAAATTGTCTGCCCAGAACACCTGTCTTTTGTACTAACATCCACAAAATAGTTATAATATTCTAACTTATTAGTTTGCAAGTAGGATAAAATTCCAAACTCTGACATTTTAAATAAGGAGGTCTAATGTACTTTACATTATAAATTTCAAAGAAAACAAATAGCCATTTTGAATTTTTTTTGCACAGATAAATCTACACCATTGGGCTACTGTTAAGACTAGAATGAGAAAATATATAGCACACTTGGAATACAAAAAATAAACATTAACTTTAGTTGAACCCCTACCCTCCACATATACATATAATGAGCCAGATGGAGAGCAGTAATTTTCTCTGAGTAGCATTCTATACAAAAACAAGGGACAGACAGTCTAACACATCAATTTCCAACAATGACAATCCAATCATATTATCTCACTTAATATTTACATAGAAATTGCGCTGCAAAGAGGGTAGTTCTTACAAAAAGAAACATTGATCAGTTCCCCACAGTTCTGGAAAACAACCACACAATAGAAGCACTGGAATTGTGGACTAAGGGAGCATTGTTAAAATGTGGCTGTGATGTTGTTCTAGCAGCTCAACTATGCCCTGAAGGCCCATTCTGTCCAGGTAAGGCAAGAAGTTCTCATGATGACTGGGCCTCGTAAGGAACATCAATGCCATTGGAGAAATGGTTGGAAACCACATGATATAGAAATACCTTTTATTTGGATGTTCTGAATATTTTCTAATTGGGAAATTGATAAAATCCTTCATATGAGACTATCCTGTCCTGGATGAATTTGGACTTGATCCTTTTGGAATCCTTGGCAGTTTCTGCTTTGTTTGTAGGCACTGAGATCTTATATTGTGACAGTATCACTTGAGGGTCTTGCTAAGGTTGGAGAAGCCAATGCCAACACAAGTCAGCAACACTTTATCCCCACCCTTGAGTTCTTCACCGCATGGCTTGGTTTCAATTTTAAACATAATCTGGAAAAAGCTCTTCAAATGCCGCAAAAATTCTATCCTAAAAAACAAAAAAAAAGGGGGGGGGGGAAGGGGAATGAAAACAGAATTCCATATTTTAACAAATTCTCCTTTCCCAACCTAGAACCCTGCACATGGATGACAAGCAAATTCATGAAGCATTGCATATTTTAAAATTAATCTCTTGTGCATCAAAGATAACTAGAAAGTAAAAAGACAACATGTATGTGTATATGTATGTATGTATATGTAGCCAATAAGCACATGAAAAGATGTCCAACATCTTTTTCATTAAGGAAATGCATCAAAAACAATTCACACCCAAGAAAATGACACAATCAAAAACACAATAAGGCATGAGTGAGGATGTCAGAAATCAGAACCTTCATACACTGCTGGGGGGAATGCAAAATGACAATGTTTCTGTGGATCAATCTGGAAGCTCCTCAAAATAGTATACAAAAATTTTGAAGGAGTCACCATATGATCTAACAATTACACTCCAACGCATGAGAGAAATGAAAACATACTCACACAATAACTTGTAAACAAACATTGATTCACAGCAGTTTCATTCATACCAGTCAAAAACTGAAAACAACCCAAATGCCCATCAACAGGTGAACAGATAAACAAATGTACTAAATGTCTGTATTAGGGAATATCATTTTGCTAAAAAAGGGAAGTACCCACACAACAATCCAACATCACAGTAAGCAAAAGAAGCCAGTCACGAAAGGCAGTCATGGAAGACCACATATTATGTAATTCTATTTATAGGAAATGTGCAGAAGAGGCCAATCTATAGTGGCAGAAAGTAGATTAGTGGTTGCCTGAAGGTTGGGGTGGGGCAAGAGGGGAAAATAGGGAACAACCATGAATGGGCAAAGGGTTTCTTTCCGGGGTGGTAAACATGTTCTAAATTAGGCTATGTGGTTATGGCTATACAACTCTGAATATACTAAATAAAGCTGAATGAATTGTACATTCTAAGTGGATAAACTATGTTATGTGAAATATCTCAACAAAACTGTCCTAAACAAATAAATTTTAATATATGTGTATGTATTTGTGTGCATATGTGTGTGTTTGTGAAATTTTAAAAAAGGATTGATTCTGCCTCCTACCCTCACATGGTATATATCAAACTTAGTATAAACCCTACACAATGAATTTCTTAACTGATGTAGTAAAAGACAAAAAGGGGGCCTTAGCAACTTCCTTACCCTGGACTTACTGAAATGACTGTCATGTCAAGGGCTTAAGAAAGGAATACTACTTAAACCAGAAAAAGTAGTTCTGATAAGAGCCACATACTCAGAAAAAAATGCCCCGCGTCTCTGCTCTCCTTTCAACCTAGGATGGTACTACTTCATGTCTGTTTTTAAAATGACACCTCATTTGCCTACTCTCCTAGTAACCCCTCTGAGTTTCTATAGCATTTCTTGACCAAGCTTGTGGTATCTAAGTAAATGCTTATGTTTTGCTGTCTCCACAATTGCTCGCTTCCCTCTTGGTAAATGCTGTAAGCATATTATAGACACACAGTAAGCAATGAAGAGAACGTTGGAATTAGGGCTAGTTTTCAGAAATAACTTCAACATTCTTAGTAATTAAGGGAAATCAACTCTTCCCCTGCTGGCTTTCCTGTCTTACTAGTCAATTGGAATTTTCAGTTTTTTGCTCTCAGTCCCAGTCTCACAACTTTCCCATTTTGTCCTAGGAAAAAGAGAAAACAAACACATCAAGCCCATAGATAAACAGTCCACATTTGTGAGCAAAGCTTCCAGCTGGCACCAATGCAAAAAAAAGCCAGCCATCTCACCCATTTGTCTGCATTCTGAGAAGAAAACAGCTTGTTCTCTCACTGCTCTTTAGCTGTGACACAGGTCTGAGACACCCTCTGCCCCGAGAGTTTCTCCAGCCTGCTTCACTGAATCGTTCACTGTGTTGGGAAAATCAGACACCCTCCCAGCTGGCAGAATTCCTACAGGGCCTCAGCTTGCTTCTGATCTCTTGGCAAAGGGAGAAACATAGGCTTGAGTGTACAGGTCTACATATTTGCATTTTTGGGGGCATTTGTAGCCTTTGGATCAGTTAGGAAAAGCAAAGTTGGTTCCACTTTATAACATAATGTTCTGCCAACCTCTCAGCCTGTCTGAAGAAGACTATGTAAGGGATTGGTTTGAGCTATGTTTCAGAATGTTTATCCCCCTACCTCTGGATCCAGTCTCCCTGTAGCTAAATATCAAAGAGTGAAGATGTTCAGAAGCTGTGAAACAATAGGGAATATTAAATCCCAGCAGTTTCATTAAGAAAATGAAACTCAGACAAAAAATAAATGCGACCTATATCCATGCAACTGAACAAAGTCACTCCCAATGTTCATCCATATCCTCACCCACAAGCCCCCCAAGATTGTAGCCACACACAGACACTACAAGGTACAACCTCCCAAGCGCAGAACACTTCCTTTTCCTTCTTTCATACACCATACTACAGTTGACTTGTAGTAGACCACCTTTCTTAAACACACCCACACAGCCAGGTAAACAAGAGACCCACAGCATGCTGAGAGCAACTCTGCTCCTCACAGTTTAATTGGCAGCTACTCACATCATCCACTTTCAGCAACTGGGACGCTATGCAATTCTTATGTGAGGGATTTTTCAGGACAACATGGTTTATTTTCAGAAAAAAAAAATTAAAAATCCTACTTTTTGTAAAAGCCTCTAGTACAACTGACAAGCAAATTTCAGAGAAATCTGGACAACAGAGATCATTTCTCCTGTGTGTTTTCAAAGGTCAGGTTGCTCCCTACTACCACTGCTGTACCGCTACTGCCACCACACTGTTAGCCAACAGGAGGAAGCCAATGGCCATGTGGTCATCTGCTCTTTGAATCCCAAAAGCCTGAGATTTGCCAGTTGCCTGGCTCAACTCTAAATACAGTCCCTGTCACGAGGGTCTGTCTGAAGCCTGCTAAAGCGTGCAGGTAATAATGGGCAAGCTCTCTCTGTGACTCCACAAACACAAACCACAACAGAAGTTGCTGTCTCCTGCTTCACCAAGTCACTTGTATACTGGAGTTACAGACTTCACACACCTATGGAACTGAGGGGAAAGATATGAGGTGGGAAGAGAAATGTTAAATGGGGCCCCTTGTAGTCATTTCACAGCAACTTTTTTTTTTTTAATTTTTTTTTTAAGATTTATTTATTTATTCATACAGAACTGGGGTACAGGCCAGAGATGCGGAGGGTGAGAGAACTCACCAAAGGCAGAATGAGGAGCAGAACAGGCAGATCGACGAAGCACACTGCCGAGGGGAGCAGCGGGCGGGTCAGGAGAGGTCTGCCGCGCCATGTGGTCACCTCCGGGCAGGCGGGAATCGAACTCATGCGGAAGTGGCCTAAGCCTCTTAGTGCAGTGTTTTAACCCGCTGCGCCACCAGGGAGGGCCTCACAGCAACTTTTAAATACATTAGTATTTTTTTTTAAATATACTGCTTCTACCAAACAGGCTTTTCCAAGGCCACAGTTGGCCTCTGCTCCAAGAATGAATGCTCAAAATGTTGAACTCATCCCAGAGCCCACATGTCCCCACATGATGGAAACCCATGCTTCCTTCATACTGAATTTAAACTTCATTCTTGGAACTGAGATCAGCTTTTTCACCTGAAAAGTAAGGCTATCACTGGCTTTTTACCATATGCCAAACACATCATTGGGCTAAAATAGCCTAATTGAAACCACTTCACAGAAGTTAGGTAGAGGGGTATATACTAGCTCAGAGAAAACAGTCAAATAACTGAACCTAAAGAGTAGTGCACTGGGCCAGCAGGTCCCAATTTTCCCAGGGTATTATTGCACTAGATAGTCACACAACTGTGCTACAGAATGGGCAAAGCAAGAAGCCTCATCAGGAAGCATTTTTTGTTTTTTAATGATTATTTATGCATACAGAACTGGGGTACAGACCACCAGAGACAGAGTGAGGAGCAGGACAGGCAATCAACAAAGTTCACTGCTGAGGAGAGTAGCCGTCGTTCAGGAGAGGTCTGCTGCGCCAGGTGGGTCACCTCCCTGGCAGGGGATCAAACTCTTGCTGAGGTGGCTTTAGCTTCTTAGTGCTGTGCTTTAACCCACCAGGGAGGGCCCATCAGGAAGCATTTAACAAGGACATTTGATCTTGCTCCCCAGCACTTCACAGGGAGGGAAGAAAGGTTAACTATTAAAGTTAGGGCACCATTTGAAAGGAAAACTCTGAAAACATGTAGCATTACATACTCCTTCAGAAAAGAAGGTGCCTGGAATTCAACAAAATGAAGAAAGTCCAGCTCTTACACAAGTGCACAGTAGTCAGGGAAACATAGACCCTGGAAAAAACAGTCGAGGTCTGACCTCTCCTGCGGGCTGCATGACCCTGAGCACGTCTCTGTGCTTCAACATCCTCACCTTTAAAATGGAAAATGTAATATATGCCTTTACCACCCTCATAAGGTCACTATAAAAATCAAATGAGTTCATTTTTGTTTAAAAATAACAAACAGGGTCCTTGCTGGTGGCGCAATAGGTTAGGGCACAGCACTACAAGCTGGCTGCAGCCACCTCAGAGCAGGTTCGATCCCAGGCCTGGAGGTGACCCACATGGTGCAACAGACCTCTCCTGTCTTACCCACTGCTCCCCTCAGCAGTGTACTTTGTCAATCGGCCTGTTCTGTTTCCTACTCTGTCTCTGGTGAATCCTCTCACTGCCCCACACCTCTTGCCTATACCCCAATCTTTATGCATAGATAAATAAATCTTTAAAAAACAACAACAAACACTTAAAACAACTCCTGGCACACTATACTTTTAAGTATTTGCTAAATAAACACCTTGCAGAATTCTGGGAGGTAGTAAATGTGTGTTTTGCTTAGTAATATGACAGTTGGAAGTTAGTCATAAATTTTAAAATTAATGGATATAGATTTACATATAGCTGCGCAGACAAATTAAAGCTTATTTAAGGCTTAAAAGTGCCCAAAACATTACAATTGAGATGGAAAAATGCACAAAATGATGTAAAAATAAACTATATTAAAAAAAAGAACCTCAAAAAAAGTGCCTAAACAAATGTATCTGATGTTCTGGTGTTCCAATGACCTCAATGGGAGACTTCCGAGACTGGGCAGAGGTAGCCATCCCTGACTAGACTCCATTAGACCTACTGCACTGCTGCGAGCACTAAGCCCCTGACCTCATCTCCAAAAGCCCATGACACATCCAACCCATTCACCTTTTCTATGGATGAGACTAAAGCCCAAATATGTTAAATCACTTCTCCTTGTCTTTAACGCTAGAGAGTAGAATTGTAGACCGAAATCGGAGAGGTTGGACCATAAAGCCTGGGCACTGGCAGAATGCAAAAAGCTCTACTATCTGCAAACTCCAATCACAATTTCTGAAAGCGCTTATAAAAGGTTCATGGATAAATATCTTTCTTGATACTAATCCTACTTTTATACAAGGTTTAATTCCTCCCTAAAATTTCTGAGAGCAAAGTAGAATGGTCATCAAATACTAACCACCTAAAATACAACAAATTTAACAAAATAAGTTCTCTACATATCAGTGTGCTATCCAGAATTATTTCATTTTACCAAAACTATCTGGCCTCTCCAAAGAATACCACACATATATACTTTCTTTTTAAGTGCATAACCAATCAACAACAGCAATCTTCTGAAGACAGAAGAAAAAAAGTAAAGAGCAACCAGACCCTTATTTCCCAGAAAGGGTTTGAAATCAACACTGAAAGGAAAAACAAACCAAAAAAACCCTCTTTAATCCCAGTTCCCTCTAAGCAGAAATTTAAAGACCTATTTTACACAAATCAAAATGTTCAAAGTACCAAGAAAAATATATTTTCTTAAACCAAGAAAGACTTTGCTTCGGTTTTTCTTTGAGAAATTTTAGGCTTTCAAAAACAGGTTACTTTGACTTTAACCGCACATAAAAGTTAGTGTGACCATTTGGTCTCCAAAACTCTTGAACCCAACTAGGATAAAAACTGTTCCTCCTACCTTAACTGTCCCAATGAATTCTGCCCTTTTTCCACATTCAGCTGTACACACACATGATGTTACCTTTCCTTATCATGCCTCCCATCCCTGTCCTTCATTGATTTGAACTACTGGCACCTCCCACATAATGAAGGGTAAAAAGATCACAGACAATGCAGCTTTCTAGAAAGTCAATTCTTTTTTTTGTGCTAATTTACCAAAAAGAAGGGAGGCTGCCCTTTCCCATTGCCTGGCAGCCCCTCTTGCATGAAGCCTGTGAGGCCAGTAATCCAAAGGAGGAATGTCTTACAAGAAGTCCCAACCCTAAGTCTCAAAACAGTTTTGCAATTTGTCCTACTCCTGTGTAAAGCTAAATTCAGAACGGACACGCTTTCCCAAGAGTTATATAGTAAATTTACGCAGGGATTCTTGATGATAAGACACTACCATTAATGTGTGACGAGAAGGGAAGGGCTAGGGAGAAAGGGTGCCAAGGAGGACAAGGAAATTCTTTACATGTCCAATCACATTTTGACCATCTTCATGGAGTTTGCTAACTTGAAAGTTTTACAAGGCCCTGAAGTCAAAGTGAAAAAAATGTCTAAAACAGAACAAAAGGTCAAGGAAAAATAAAAAATAAATATACATTGCATTTTTCACATAATGTTCTGCCAATGCCCCATGACACAGCTTGGTGCTGTGCAAGCAGCCAGGCCTTCTGATGCCTGGAAGAGGAAGAGGCTGGAAAAGCAGCAGCAATGAAACTAAAAAGCTGAAGAGGACCATGGTGTTCACAGAGCTATCAGGAGCTTCCGGCAAACTCTCCTGGGAGAATTTAAGGGAGTCTCTGCACAAGATAATCATACACCCAAGCCTCATCTCCTCCCCAAATGCCTTAACTATAATGTCTATTTTAGCAGGATGGACTCCTGATGTTAGTGTGCCATTTAGGGTTACTCGATTTCAGGTTTCTTGGCCTATGAGGTACATTACACAAGCTACCAGGAGATAATGTAGTCCCATCAGTTTTTTCTTCTCAGTCTGCTCCCATTGCTAAAGAGGATGTACTTCTCTTCCATTTTCTTGTTCCAAAAAAAACCCTCTCCCCACCAACTCAAAAGAAGAAAGAAACCTCCCAAAGAATCCCTTGCATGCTCCAGCCCTCCACCCCAATGCCCCAAGCCATGGCCTGAGGGTCACTGCCCAGTGCTCCTTTCTCAATGTGATGGCACCACCATTCTTCAGTTATCACAGTACTGTACCTTTCAGATATACAGCATCGGTACCATGATAACCGAAAAAGGACAGTTCAGTCTCATATCTACCTGAATATTTTTCACACAAAAGCCCCCTACCTCAAAGTTGGCCATATGATGACCTTCAAGTAAATAACACTTGGATATCTACACAGAGACATTACAATGCTCAGACAGGCTGTTTACAGCAACTTCATTTACTATCACTGGAAAACGCAGTTGTAATTCCCATGTTCTGATGTGAGCTGCTCTTTTGGAGAATACTTAATTTAATACCTCTGCAATCAATTTCTGTTAATATCCAATTATCTCAGAGTAACTTCTGAGTAACTTTCCCCTAGTAGTCCACTGGCATTCCTATAAACGTGGCCTCTTTCTTTCCAGTTAGTTCACACCCTACTATCTTGGACATAGCTAGGGAAAAAGGGATTTAAAAAAACTAACAACAAAACCCAAGCTATAGTAGAACCAGTTTACTTTGCCTAAAATGGAAACAAAATAAAAGTATAGTCTACTAGATACCACATTAACTTTAATGGCATGAGAATAATGAAAAGACAGCAAAGGGAAGCAAAATAAGCAGGCCGGAAATGACAATTTCTGATTTATTTAAGTATCAGTACAACTAGATGTTAGGCTATACACAGTACAACACCTTGTCATTCCATATAACTGGAAGAATAAACTAGTTCAGAATAAAAAGGTTAAAAAAAAAAACTCACGTGTAGGGAGAGAGTGGTCCTAGAAGGACTTTGGAAACATCCTGCTGTCCAAGGGTCATGAGCAATAGAGCCAGGCTTTGATTGGTCGAGTCCACACATCCACCCTATAAACATAAGCACTTTAAAAGTTAATCGCTGTACCAACAATAGAATGGAAAACCAACAAAACAGAAGAAGAAAAAAACAGACAAAGACACCCAGTATAGCAGAGTCCACGTGAAAGTAAATTGTGATGTTCAAGCTATGATAAAATATCTAAGACCTAAAACATAGGTCTTAGAAGAGTAATCCTTGTATCAACTATAGTTAAATCAATGCAAACTAGTAACTGGAACTAATGGGGTGGGCATGCAAGTTTACCAAGGTCTATCTGTGAAAGATGAAACTTTCCCTTCATAATCAAAACAAGAGAAGGAGATATAATCAAAAACTATACAATCAGTTCTAGGGCATGTATAGTTAGATACCATGTATTAAGTCAATCACTTGTATTTATTTAATCTATCATAAAACAGCATGGTAACCAAAAAATTGAAAAGACCTTTATTGTAAAGAACCATAACTATGCAGTTATTCAAATAGGTACAAACTGCTTGTCATATTACATTAATTTCTCCTCTTTATCTCTTCTGGTGTATCATAAAACTGGAGAACTATTAAAAACTTACATCCTTCCA